TTGCTATCGTAACGTAGTTTGTCCATCGTTTGATGCATTTTTAATGTGACCATTGAATGATGTAAAAATTATGATGTATCGAATGTCAATGTTGGTAATTATAAATTTAATTTTTTATTGTACTAGTAGGTACTATTAGTATTACTTAGGCCTAAATTTCTGCTGTGCTATTGATAGTGATATGTCTATATACTAGGCATAGTAACCCTGGAATTGAATGTATCCTGTTGTTAAAACTATATCGCTTCACATTCAACAACGGGAAAGGAGCAACACGAGTTTTACCGCAATAATGAATACTTTTCCCCAGCGTCGATAGATGGCGCTACTGTACGATGAAGCGTTGCACGCGTAACGCAACAGTATTTCCTGGATTTTGATAACTTGTGGAGTTGTTCTCATGCTAACTTTGGTAAGTTGAATTTAAATGTTATTAAACAATATGCGGGGTGTTGACCGGACTTATTTATCGCTAGGCCTAATTACTCGTTAGGTTTCTCTTTTCCTAAAAGTAAAATGAGAACACGACAATGCGTAGAATTTTGGGTCAAAGTAGTGTTTACACACCCATGTTCCGTGAGTTTGGTTAGTGTTAGGGTGTAGGGTTAGGTTAGGGTTTTTAAAGCCTGGGTGGTCAAAATAGGATTTTGGCCAATTTTTGCTGTGTAACCGTAGACTAGAATCATCATTCTCTGTTTCAGTTCATTGACATTAATCTTATTAGACATTACATTATTTTACATGGTAATGATACAGTAAAACTCTCATAAGTCTACACTTTTGGGACCAGCATATTTGTGGCCGACTTCACGAAATTAAGGCCGGCCATACGCGTAAGTCGTCATTTTGTCGACTTATACGTAGGGCTCCCCTCCTAGACGCCTGTCGCCGCTACGCAGTCATAAACCACAGGCACTTGGACCGTTTCAATAATAAAATGATGGCTTAGATATAATAATAATAATACAACTTGGCAGTAGCTACTACAGTACCAGCAATAGTCTTAATGTTTGATTTGACGCTAATAACTTCACGTCAACACCGTTAAATACACCGATGCAACCACATAGCCCGCCACGCCATTGTGCATGCACAAGCTACACAGTAGGTTAGAGCAGGTAAGTAAAGCGTTTACAACAGGAAATTTCCAGTACCGCTCCAGCTTCTTGTCGATGCACTAGAGATCGAAATTCAAACTCCAACCGCCATGATATTGCATCTGTGTGGAGCTGAAATGATCACTTGTTCGAAATATTACGTCTTCGCAACATGTGTACGCACAGACTTTTACCCAGAATTATATAGAGAAATCTGCCTCAAATTTGCCCGCAATCGTGGTTCCCATGAACGCGATTGTAAACCGGCGACAAGTACAATGAGCAATGGCCCGGCGGCATTGCATTCCTGGGAGGCAATTCTCCTGGCAATCTTTGCTCCGCAGAATGCAATGCGCCGCCATTGGGCTCATGTACTCTGTCGGTTTACAAGCATGCGGCTTCATGGAAATTTTGCGGCAAATTTGAGCAGGATTTCTTCATATCAATTGTCTTGGTAAAATCTGTGGTACCATGTTGCAAGACGTATATTTCGAACAAGTGATCATTCAGCTACACACAGATGCCAATATCATGGCGGTTGGAGGTTTATTTCGTCTCTAGTGCATCGACAAGAGTGGAGCGGTCTGGAATTTCTGTGTAAACGCTTTCTTACCTTCTCTAACCTACTGTGTAGTTGTGCATGCACAATGGCGTGCGGGCTATGTGTTGCATCGGTGTATTTAACGGTGTTGAAGTGAAGTTATTAGGTCAAATCAAACATTAAGACTATTGCTGGTACTGTAGTAGTACTGACAAGTTGTATTTATTATTATTATATTAACCATCATTTTATTATTGAAACGGTCCAAGTGCCTGTGTCATAAACGGCCCTAGTCTAGAAGACGTGTCCCACAATACTTCATGTCTACAATAGAATACACAATGGGGCCATTCTTAAAAAATCATATGTTTGCTGTCCTCCGACCGACCCACGAAAATAGCCGCGACCCAAAAGTTTTTTTTTACATTTTGAGTTCCATATTTTATTTTATTTTTTTACATTTTTCATAGTTAAGACTGAAACACAAAGCATGTGTGGCAAACATGAGAACAGACTTAAAATAACTATTATGCCTCACACAAAAAAAATTGACCTACCTACCTACCTACCTACTAAAAAAATCATGGGTCGGGGGACAGCAAACATAGAATTTTTTAAGGATGGCCTGGGTCATGTCTTCTAGACTAGCAACGTCATAAACATGTACATGACATCACTTCACACCACATACATAGCAGACAGGAAACAATCGGGTCCGTACATCAATCGACACCGCTGCTGGCCATAACGCACATACATCGTACGCACTAGCGGCAAGCGCGGCACACACTGGCTATCTGTAACACCCGCTGTTTATTACACGTTTGGACATTGCAGGACATTTGTGGTGCACGTCTGCCAAATTTTCTTGGAACACTTGCTGAAAAAATAGGGCAATTCCGCGAGGCCGTGCTCTGGAATGAACTAGTTAGTATAGCAGAATTTTCAGGGAGTCACACAGACTCCTGCATAGGTCGAATATGCGCATATCTGCGACAGCCAGCTCGCACATCTCCTAGACCCGTACACTGCGCCATCAGCATTTCTGATGACGACTTACAGATGGGAAATTACTGTTGTTTGTATTACATGGGACCTGTCTGAGGGTGACGACCTGCACATAATGACGGCTTATAAATGATGACTTAGGCGGGGCTATTCCAATGGATTTACTATGAGACAAAATCGGGGCTTTGACTTTCATGACGACTTATGCGAATTGACGAGTTTGACGATGACAACTTATGCGAGTTTTACTGTACATAATGAACTGTATATATATATATACACACATGTAATGAAACATTAAATGTTATTTAAGCACAACTTTTTCTTACATGAAATACCATTCACTTTCAGGTCACGAACACTACAGTCATTGCTATGTAAGCAAAGACCAGCCGTTCCTGTGCGACGCGTTGCATCCGGCAAGTTCATTCTATCAACGCCACAATGTCGTTGCTGACACTCGCACGCGCAGCGGCGCGACCAATCACCCTGTGCGCCTGTAACCTCGTGCGTCCCCGCCGCCTCTCCCCCGCGCTCCTCGCATCGCCACGGCAACCGACGGGGACAGCGTCGCTGCGACCGTGCACGTCTCAGTTTTTTGACGGCGGCGAGACGGACCCGCTGAATCGCACGTCGGTGACGATCATGAACACGGGCGCCGAGTACGGTCTCATGATCGACACGTTCAGCGCCGCCGGCTTCCGCCTCAACAACGGCATTAGCGTCATCGGGCCGATGGCGATCTTCGCTCGCTCGGTGCTCAGCTGGAACGTCGGCGACCACACCGAGATCACGCCGGACTCGCTCTCGCTGTTCACGCTGCTCGCGCCGCGGCTCGACATTCTCGTCATCGGCGTCGGCGACGCGGGGCTACAGTCGCGCGTCGACCCCGCGGTTCTCGTGTGCCTGAGGCGCGCACGCATCAGCTACGAGCTGCTGCCGACGGAGCAGGCCTGCTCGACGTTCAACTTTCTCAACAGCGAGGGTCGGTACGTCGCCGGCGCGTTCATCCCGCCGTCGGACGTCAAGCTGACAGCCGACGACATCCACGACAACGTGACGCGCGATAGGAACATCTACCAGATACCGGACTGAGGTGGCGCCAGCGTTGCCCGGACGCGATCGCGAGCGGCTCGGGGGGGGGGGGGGGCTGAGACCGATCGGCATTGAAGTTATGAAGGGATGAACACTTCTCTGAAAATTGTTAGCCACGGGGGAAGCTGTTGTCAGAAATGTCTAAAGTAGTTACGACGTCGTAAGGCCCCGGGTATAACGTCAGAACTTTTACGCATGGCTTCCTAGAGTTGTGAGAGTCGTAGCTATTTGTTTTACGATGATGACCGCATGTCTATCAGAGAAGTAATCCTCTGTTTGACACGGTAGTTTGTATCCTTCATCTGAAATGACTTGCAACTCGCGGCAATCGGTTTATGATGGAAGTTCTCCAGATGATAAATTCACTGTGCGTGCAAGAGTGCTTTGTTAGGCTATTCTTAAAATATGACAACTTTAGGCAGGGATGACTTTCTACACTTCATAGTCGTTGCCCTTCATAGAGTTGTGTTGATGAATCCTTTTTGTATGATATGTTAGAGGTGAGCGAGTTTTTGCTTTGTGTTCATTATTTATGTTGAAATAAACAATGTTACACTTTACCTGTGGAAAATTGGGTTATTTATCATTGGTGAAATAATCTGCGGCATGGACCCACAGCCCTTGAAAGTCCATGAATTTTGTCCTTTGTCCTTGAAAGTCCTGAATTTTTCCTTGTGGCATTGAAAGTCACTTGAAATAGGTCCAAGTCTTTATTTTATGTCTAATGTCCTGGAATTTTACATTTTTGACTTGAAATAAAAAGCAGCTCTTCATTGCTTGGTTATCTGACTGACCCTATTCCAAGTCTTCGATAAACATGTTAAATTTATTTATTACTCGGTGTTCATATTTTTCTACACAATTGTGTCAATTTGTGTGTAGGAATTGTGTGTATTTATTCTCATTGAATTAGAGTGTAAAACAACTATTTTTACTAAATATATATGAATCTAGGGTATATATGATTACTCTAGAATGCTAAAACTACTAAGTCACAGTGTCCTTGAAAAAACCTCATTGAAATGTCCTTGAAAAGCCTTTGAAAAAAATAAGTCACACTTTTGTGTGAACCATGTGAGTACCTATAGCACTGCAGTAATAATGTACCATATAGAATCAACCATCACGATCAGGTTACATTCTCTCGGGAATAAGTGATCCCCCTCTCCGAAATGGTATCGCCTACGACCTTGTTAGCACGGTGAAAAGTTAGCCAGGCAAATGGCCGGTTTACAGTCTCAACTTTTTTCACCCCCCAAAGCACAAAATATGATTATACGGCTATAATACGCGTTTTTACAGTCACACATACACACACGCGACCGGGCGCACACACGCGGGTATGGTTGCACGCACGCGTGCGCGTATATTATAGGCGTAAATTCACATTTTGTGGTTTGGGGGATGAAAAAGGTTCGGCTGAAATACGGCCATTTGGCTGGCAAACTTTTCACCGTACAACTGATGCCGTGGGCGATACCACTCGCGAGAGGGGAGCAAGGAATAAGTGATTACTTTTATTCACTGCCTGACACAGCAGATGAAAGGTTAGCATAATTAAAGAACCGGTAACAGTTTATTATTACATGTATTATTACAAATCTTTATGGCATGTAATTCAACTACATGTATACATGTACTGATTGATGATACTACATTACATATTGTCACAGGACCGTCACATGAATCTACGTGAATGACAATACTAAACGACTTGTCTGCGTCAGTAATCGGCAAGGTATAACGGCTGTTTAATCTGCTATCGGCACTCATTCGATCGCAGACGGCTGGTCCATTCACTGCCCGCACTCGCTCAGTAATCTTTGCCTTTCGTTTCAGGCTCGGCCCTCGACTGTTACGTCTGTAACAGCGCCGTCGATGACGCGTGCATCGACGGCCCGTTGGACGGCTACGATGTCACCTGCAGCAATGATTCCCTCTTCTGCAGACAAGTGACCGTGTGTACGTAGATCTATGCAGCGCGGAGAAATGTTTAACGGGTCGCATTCTTTCGGTTGTTCACCCATACGCAGGCATTCTGGCAACGTGATAAAGGTAGGTATGGCCCATACCTACCGTTATCACGTTGCCAGCATGCCTGCGCGCACTTTGAGCAATTCCTACTCACGCTTTCTACCTTTGCTATAATGCTACCTCACTATATTGCTGCCTGTAATGCTACCTCTGCTATATTGCTGTCTATAATGCTACCTCACTATATATAATGCAGCATTATGCTACCTATAATGCTGCCTATATATTGCTACCTATAGTTTAATGCTACCTATAGTATAATGCTTCCTATAGTTTAATGCTACCTATAGTATAATGCTACCTATAGTATAATGCTTCCTATAGTTTAATGCTACCTATAGTATAATGCTACCTATAGTATAATGCTGCCTATATTGCTACCTGTAGTATAATGCTACGGTACCTATAGTATAATGCTACCTATAGTATAATGCTACCTATAATACCACCTCTGCTATTAATGCTGTCTATAATTTTACCTCTGCTATAATACCACCTATAATGCTACCTCGGCTGCCACTCCCTCCGGCTTCTAATAACAAAATTCTAACAAAAACAAAATCCAATACTCTTCTCCATGATTTTTACCTCACCCCCCCTCTCTTTCTCTCTCGCTCTCTCTCGCTCTCTTTCTCTCTCTTTCTTTCTCTGTCTCTCTCTCTCTTTCTCTCTCTCTCTCTCTCTTCTTGTCTCTCTCTCTTCTCTCTCTCTCTCTCTCTCTCTCTCTCTCTCTCTCTCTCTCTCTCTCTCTCTCTATGTCTCTCTCTCTCTCCCTCTCTCTCTTTCTGTATATCTGCCCCTCTCTCTCTCGGCAGCTGTAGTTGGGGAGCCAGATGGAGCTGACCGCACGTGGAGGGAGTGCGGCCTCGAGACGGACGCCGACCACGGCGACGACCCCAGCAACATCGTCTGCAAGAAATCGGTGACGACGAGCACGTACAAGAAGGCGTGCGACTGCAGAGAGAGCCTCTGCAACGCCGCGCCCGGCTTCACGGAAGCCGCCGTCGCCACGGCGATGACCCTCACCATCGCGGTCGCCACCCTGCTGCTGTAGCGGACGACGTCGCCATGGCGATGACCCTCACCATCGCGGTCACCACCCTGCTGCTGTAGCGGGCGGTGGCGGCGGCGCGAGAGATCCCCGAGCGCGCGGAGGTTTAATTTTCCATCGAGTGTGCGTTCACTCGCGCTTCGGCCGACGGATTCGCACGGCAACGACGAGGGATTCGTATGTTGGTATTAGTTAGGTAATGGATGCTCCGTCGGTTCGCGCTGCGAGCGATTCTCGCGAGTTCTGTTTGCGTGCAGTTAGCACGGTTAACGCGGTTTGTCGAAATTTTCCGTAGTGTCTGCAAATTCGATCGGCTAGCGGCTTAATAAAGAAGACGTTTGTGTTCAGCTAGCTGGTGTTGTGTATCATGTACCCTGTCGACAGTAAATGCGAACGCTAAACCAGTTTTGGAAACGAGTCTGGAACTCCCGCCTGTCCCGATTTCAACTACTATATTTGTCACCTTTAGTAAAATCCATAAAAAGTAATCGACGTTAGCAGTTCCGGACTGGGAATGGATTGCTATTTTCAACACTAATAAAATGTCCTCTGAGGACCTGACGAACAGAGATTGTACGAAAGCAACGTCAGAAAGTATAAATGCAAACAAACAGCTCAATGTAGATGATGACATCATCACAGTCGTGATGAGAATTATTTAAATATATTCACATTCTACACTTCTACAACCCAGAACAGAATAAAATACACAACTGCTGAATGGCGGCAGTGCGCACAATTAGTCTACTCACGAGCGAAGGAAAACAAATAGTGTTTTTGTTCACTCCCGGTCTAATAATACTATTACAAACAATACATCACCCAACAAGATGACAACGTCCAAACCCTAAGAGTCCTGTGCCAGGGCTCGCCGAAGCTCTGTGAATGCTTCGCAAATTGCGAGCAGAAGGTGGCGCCACGTACGTTGCTCGTCAAGCCCCAGGCGTAGCATCAATGGGGGTAATGTGGAAGACGAGTTCTCTTGTTGGATGCATTGTTGCTACTGCCGGACACACGGGATTCTATCGCGCATACAGCACTAACTCACACACACCGTCTACGGTCAAAACTACGCTACATGTGTGATGAGACTCACGGAATCGACAGTCAGAGAACCGATTTGTAACACAAGCAGTTTAACAAATGTCGCATGAAGACAATTTCGGGGACGCGGGCCCGCGGCGGGGCGGGGCAGCGTGGGACGCGAGCCCGCGGCGGGGCGGGGCAGCGGGGACACGGCAGTACCTTGCGAATCTAGAAGCCACGTTGCTATGCATTTGCCTCAGTCGAGCTGCATCGGGTAAAATTTTGTAACGGTCTCTGCAAAGCGATCGGTCGCGTTTGTCCGCGCCGCCACCGCCGCCGTCATCCACGACGTTGCCACGGTAACGACGCGACAAGGGCAGAACGATACGTGGGATTCTCGACGCGACGCAAGTCGCACATCGCACCTCCGCATCACAGACGATAGATCAGCTAGCGCCGGTCGCGCGATCGCTCGGACGGACGGAGGCAACGGCCGTCCGTTCCATGCAACAGATGTCTAAACTCTTCCTACGGGGATAGAAAAATACCGGCGCCCCCTGGTGGGGCACGGCTCATGCTCTCGGTCGTCGCCGCCCGGAGAACGATCTCGTAAATATTACCGAAGTAAAATCCGGCGGCGCTGCCCCACGCCGCACATCGGCGGCTAATTCACATTCTACATACTAAAACCGGCCGGACGCGACACGCGCGAGTCATACGCGTGTCTACATCTACGTACGTATATATATATATATATATACATTTATATCGCCTCTCGGTCGTTTACTCCCGCGAAAGGCGAGCAGGAGTATGTGCTTAAAGCTGGATTTACACTACTGACTTTATGTTGGCGAATTGGACCAATTTTGCAATTTGGCAACTCCGAGTTGACAAAAATAGAGCATGTTCTAATCTCCCAACTAGTTGCAGTCGAGTGGTTTGTCGCGCAACTCTTGCGTTTACACTGCCGATGTCGGTTGTATAGTTGGGAAGTTGGTCCAATTCGCCAATTCACCAACACAAAGTCGGTAGTGTAAACCCAGCTTAAGGCGCGCGCACCGACACGTTCGTGTTTTCACATTCGCTACAATTCCACGTTCACAGCAATTCACTATTACTTAAAAACCTCGCCGTGGACAGGGAGCGCTCGCGAGATGAGCGGGTCCGGATCGCTGATTCGCCGAGGCGCGAAGATAATTTCGAAGCCATCCAATAGAGATGCGTTGCCAGGCAGTTACCGGGGAAGCATTGCGTCGTACTTATCTGGCTCCCGTGATTCCAACACTAGAGGGAACAAGTGAGCATCGCGATGCACGACAAAACAAACGCGTTTACGGGCAAAGGTTGCGATGGCGAAATGTAAGGCTGTACTTTCTACACACACCTGATCATGAACGCAATCCCAAGTACGGTTCGACCCACGAGGAAACATTGTAAACCCTACAATATCC